GCATGGAGCACGTTGAAAAGTATCTACCATTTCAGTGAATAAAAATGTTAACATAGCCACTTTACCTAAGGTTATCGTATTTCTTATAAGGAAGAGTGTTGGTTATGGAGTAAATAAATCAGATCTACAAACTCATTCGGAAAGCAAATAATGAAACATATCTATTGATAAAGGTAATTTTAAGAAAATATTACGATTGAAGGATATGGAAGTATCAACTTAAATTGCTTTATATACAGGGACTAACAATTATTGGGTTAGTCTAGTCTTTCTCAAAGTGGGCGCTGGAGGCCTATAGAGGGGCAGTAAAGGGCACAGAGATGATTGGGGGGCGGTGAAGCGGTTTACGGGGGGCATTAAAACGGTTTAGAGGGCGTTAAAACGGTTTAGGGGAGCGATAGCTAATTTAAAAATGTTTTTTTCTTTCAATACAAACTTTACCTCTCCGTTACGCTTAAAGCGCGTTTCCTCGTGTAGCGCTATCTAGGGGACTAGACAGTAACTATTTCCTGTCCGATAGTTGTCAAACTGTTCAATAGATGGCGGTGAGCTTCAATGCGAAGCGAGAAGTTTCTAGTCTCCATTCTCGAAAGTACTAGGTTCGCCCGCTGCCCGCTCGCCCTAGCGACTAGCCAGGTAAAGTGCTGTACGTGCGGTGGTGAATACTGTGAGTGGTGTCATTAGCAAGTTTTTAATACTCGATTCTTTACTTCGGAATTTTTTAAGACAAAATTATGTCGAAAGCAAAAAAGAAGAAACGGCATTATAGCGCGGAAAATATGATATATGGATTTATTGAAAATCTCACAAAAACATTTTCAAATGAAGCGATGAAACCCTCAAGGCTACAAAAACATTTGAATAAAATGCATTTAGGTAAAGAAGACAAAAATGTGACTTACTTTCAAGAACTGGATAAGAAACACTCAGGTCAGCCAACTGTATCAAAACTTTTTTCAGCAGCTTCTGAGCAAGACGACGACGGACTCCGAGCTTCCTGCAACATCTCCTTGCTAATTGCTCAAACAGGTAAACTTCACACTATTGGAGAGGATTTAATTTTACCGGCAATAAAAGAAGTAATAACTACTGTGCTCCATAAACCAGCGATTTCACACAGCTATTGCTATTTCACACGGAAGTTCGTTAGTTATCATGAGGTAACTGTCTGACTCGATTTCACAATCTATTTGACTCTATAATAGAGTTCTTGGATAACAAAGACAAAGAATTGCCCGACAACCTCATCACTTCAAAGAATAATATTGCGTACTTGACATACTTGTATAAATTATTAAATGATGTCAATCTCCAACTTCCAGGTGACGACTGGAATTTGATTTTAACAAAAAATGTCATTGCTGCTTTTGTAGCCAAATTGTTCTTATACAAGAATAATATCGGCAGACGTGAGTTTCGCAATTTCCCTAATTTGTCAGCAGTAAACTTCAACAACGACGACTTGCTTGTTTACTGCCAACATTTGGAGAACCTCTATAGTGATTTCGCAGAACGATTCCAGGATATTTTAAAATTGGAAATACCGGACTGGTTGTTGGATCCTTTTTCAAATGTTAACATAACAGGATCACCCCAGCTGGAAGAAGAACTCGTAGAACTGATAACGAACGAGGAAATAAAAATAAAATGTCAGTATATTATATTCAATTGCTTCAAGTCCGTGGAATATGCAGCTACCTTGGGTGTTCAACAAGGAAGCAACCTAAGGCCACTTCTCTTTAACGCCTTTATAAACGACATAGTTGATGTCATTGACGTCAACTGTTTGATATACGCGAATGACCTGAAAGTATATTCTGAAATCAATGGCATCGAGGACTGTCCACAACTCTCTCTGAAACGTGTTGAGCAATGGTGTTTTCGCAATAATCTTCTTTTAAACTCGAGTAAATATAATGTAATGATGTACACACTAAAAAATCATTCATTTCCATATCAATATTTAATAAACGATATTCCACTTCAACGGCCTCTCACATTCACTGATCTAGGTGTTACTTCGACACAAAACTTTCCTTCGTGCCATACATTGAAGCAATTCTGTCTGCTGCAAACAGAATTATATATTTATTGCACGAATCTCCAGAGATTTTGCGGATATATCCACATCGAAAACCTTATACTATGCTTTCGTCAGAAAAAAATTAGAATATTGTAACAAATTAAGGAATTAACTGTCATAAACAAATTTATTTCCAATAATATTTCACTAATCACAAACTAATTTATTTACAATACTTAGCAACTAACGCTTAATTTTATTTCCACTATTTGAATTCTAGAAATCTGTAGTCGGTTCGATATCCAACTAGAGTTTTACCGGCGGTTGTCGACTGCATTCGTTTTGCTGTGTTTGTTCGCTGGCCGGAATATCGGTCAGGGACGCCTTCAGATTCATTACAATATGCATCCATAATCTGGGATCCATCTCATCAGTTGTATACAGAAAAAGTTTAATCAGTACAACGTCGTTTCCTAAAACTTGTCTCATATAGGTCAGACAATATCTATCCATCAATTGGATTTTCCCATGATGTATTGTTAGCTAGACATGCCATAAATAGCTGAGTTGCCGTCTTGATTGTCACTCCACATTTTTTTTTAAAATGAATTATAATTTAAACTTGCGGACTGTCACTCCGCAAGTTTAACATTTTTGCGATAGTTTTTTGATAAGCATGTTGGCGGCGCTGCAAGTAACAGTAGTCTCCTGGAATATCTTGATAATGATCAGTATAGAGTCACAGGTTAGTGGTTGCATTTGTCCCAGTGTTGTGTCCGTTGCGGAGTGAAACTCCGCGGCGCGCGACCTTTCTTGTACCTATTCTTATTTCAAGTTGCGGAGTGAAAATCCGCGCGCGACCTTTCTTGTACCTATTTTTACTTGAAGTGAGATTTCAGTAATTGCTGTCATCAAAGGTAAGTCTATAATATTTGATTTCTGAAATGTGTTCAATTCATCCAAAAATTTTAGATGTGCTCCTGGGAACAAGAACAAAGGCATTTGGAAAAACTCATGTCAGAGTGTTTGATGGATAATGATTTGTCTGATGCTGATTTTGAAGATGACGTTTCAGACGAGGATAATGTCGAAACACAAGAGGATATTCTTGAGACACAAAATATCGATAGTGACACAGAACAAGAAATTTCAGACCTAGAAGATTACAATAATGAAACTCCAATTCAGGGACCAACATTCACAGGAAAAGACAATACAACCATTTGGTCTAAATTTCCAATACCCAGATATGGACGAACTAGGAGACAGAACCTGATAAAATATCTTTCTGGTGTGAAGCCACCAGTGACAAACTTGAAGAAGGAAGCAGAAATTTGGTCTCACTTTTTTTCTGATACAATTTTGAATATAATTGTGGAGTACACAAATCAACACATACAAGAAAAACGTGTTCATTATCAACGAGAAAGAGATGCTAAAGATACCGATTTATTGGAAACCAAGGCGTTCCTCGGTCTTGTATATTTATGCGGAGTTCTAAAGTCTAGTCGCCTGAATCTTGAGGAATTGTGGGATAAAAATGGTACAGGAGTAGAGCTATTTCGACTTACGATGTCTAAACAAAGATTTTGTTTCCTCTTGCAACATATAAGGTTTGATGATTCAACTACACTATACGCACGAAAGAAATACGACAAGCTTGCTCCCATTCGAGAAATATTTGATAACTTCGTCAATAATTGTAAAACTGCTTACTCTCCGTTTGAATACGTAACCATTGACGAAAAACTCGAGGCATTTCGCGGGCGGTGTAGTTTCCGTCAATATATACCCAGCAAACCTGCTAGAAAATTGTTTGCGTTAGCCGATTCAAAAACATTTTATACGACCAATTTGGAAGTGTATGTTGGCCGGCAACCTGAGGGATCTTTTGCAGTGAGTAATTCGCCGAAAGATGTTGTTCAAAGACTTTGTGAACCAATAAGAGGAACAGGCAGAAATGTTACAGTTGATAATTGGTTTACCAGTATGGCGCTTCTTGAAAATTTGCAGAAAAATTTCAACTTAACTCTTCTGGGTACCATAAGAAAAAACAAGAGAGAACTGCCTCCAGAATTTGCCCGTCCTTCAAGTCGTCCTCCTCTATCAAGCATGTTTGCTTTTCAGAAAAATGCAACATTAGTCTCTTATATACCAAAAAAGAACAAAAATATTTTATTGGTATCGGGCATTCATTTTGACGACAAAATTGATGAAAACACTAATAAGCCGGAAATCATTATAGATTACAATCAGACCAAAGGAGGTGTTGACTGCGTTGATAAGCTCTGTGCAGCTTATGATGTTTCAAGAAACAGTCGAAGGTAGCCCATGGTGGTCTTTTATTCATTGTTGAATGTTGCTGGAATTAATTCTTTTATCGTATATGGAACTAATAATTCGAAATGGAACATTAAAAGACGACAATTTTTACGAACGTTATGTTTTCATCTAATTGAAGGCCATCTTCGCCGCCGTGCCATTCAGAAAATTCCAAACATCATGAAAGTTCGAATAAGAGGAATTTTAGGATTAGAAGAACCTCTACCTCCTCCGACTTTAGATAATGCTCGTGGTCGTTGTGCCTATTGCGATTGAAATAAAAATAGACCAACTCGATTTTCATGTGTTAAATGTCAAAAATTTGTATGCTTGGAACATTCACTCAATATTTGTCGTGATTGTTCTGATCTTGGAAATGAGATTGAATGAAATTATGTTTTCTATACTATTCCAAGATTCTGAGTTTCATTTTGTTTATTAGAAGTATTATTATTATTTTTTAATAGAAATACATTATGAATTAAAGTTCGTTTGCTGTTCCGTGTTGTTTTTTATTGCAAAAATGAATTAATTACACCAAATTCTTATAGCGGACGGACACTCCGCTCGCGACCTTTCTTGTCTGAAAACTGGATGCGACCGCCGAAAGGTTAAATCTATTTCCTGATCTTCAGTAAAAACAGGACGGAATCCGCGGAATCGGCCCAGTTTTGGAGCCGCGCTGCCAGTTTTTACATGTCTGTACAAGGTTGCATAAGCCAACCCATACTTTTTAGCTGTGTTCTTCATTGATCTCCAGCTTTGCACAAATTAATTGCCGTTTGTATGACATTTTTATCCCACGATCGCGACCCTTGTTTAGTTTTTTATTATATTCATTCACCATCTGAAACAAATAAATGACATTATGAGATCGTAAGTCAATAATCACAAATTACGGGCAAAGTGGATACTATATTCATTTGGCACCATAGGGTGTTTCATTAAGTGCTTTCTATCTTTAAATTTTAATAAAACAAAGTGTGTGTGAGATATCATCGACATTTTTTATTCGTTTGAAAGACCAATTGATGCTGTTATGTGTGGAATATAACATCATTGAAATCTCCACCACGGCTTCTCCGGGTAAAGCGCATCCGAAACGTCCAATTTTCCATGACTCTGGCGCATAAATCAGACTAAATTTGACCGATGACATGGATTATGTTGACTTTGAGGATCGTTTATTCGTATACACCTGCGACTTAAGAAAATCCCACAAGAAAAAGTCTAACGGGGTCAAATCGCACGATCTCGGTGGCCAGTTCACATCAATTCCACGGGAGATGACCATGCCCTCAAATCGCTCATGCATAATATCCAACGTGGCCAAAAGAAGTTATTCGTCGACATTCAGTCAGACGACGTCGTTCTCCAAAAAAATATAAACCGATAACGCCGTCACCTCAAAATCCACACCAAATAATGACTTTTCGGAATGCATTGGACGTCTTGGATCTCATAAGGATGGGTATCGTCACAAATTCGACAATTTTGTTTGTTCACGTAACCATCGCTCAGATTGATTTTTCGATGAAAGTTAGGGTCAGCTGCCAACTGCACCACAACTCATTCAGCGAACACTCGTTATTGTCTACTGTCGTTCACTTTCAGTTTCTGAGTCAGTTGTATTTTGTATACGGGTGCGACCCCAATTCAAGACGCAAAATTCGCCAAGTTGTGGTTTGCGAAAAGCCGAATTCTTGTGAACGACGTGAAATTGACTGCCTTGGATTCACCAGCACACTCTCACAGATAGTTGAGTTTCATCGATATGCGGGTGTTGGTCGATCATTTACTGAACCATTGGACTCAAATTTATCCACCACATTGCAAATAGTCCTCTCGATAGGATGATTATGGCGACCGTAAAACCCATATTGATAAAACAACAATTATTTGCATGTGTTGTTGAATGCTATATCCGTCCAAGGTGATTTGGCAAAACTAAATGAATTAATGACAACTAATTTGACAGATGTAGTTTCAACAAGATGGCCGTTATCAATTGTTGAAGTTTGTAAGTTCCTATTGAAAGACCCTATAGATTTTAGAACGTGATGAATGAGACATCTATAATTCATTTGATATTTTTTCACAATCATATTGTTGAGCTTATCGGTGAATTCAGGAACTCATTTAATGTGTGGTATCCGAAAAAAAAATGTTTCTTTTTGAGTGACATCTTGAAGTGAATCAATAAATACGTGACCGGCTCGTTACAAGTTACACTTTTCATTCTCCTTTTGTTAAAAATCATTTTCCAAATTACTCCAAACTTCTGAAAACCAGAATGATGCTGGAAAAGTTGAATGTTCTGAAGAAAGTTTTCCCTTCATTGAGTCCTCCTAAACTAGAAAGACACAGCTGTCCATTGAAGAACTAAAATACTGATATGAGATGTAGTACAGGAGACTTGTGAATAATCTGTAGTGGGCTCAGAGGCAGTTTCAGTTGAAATTTCAAAAGTAAAATGTCATCCACCACGTTGTATTCTTCAAACTCCAAATCCGTACACATTCTCACAAAAAAAGAATTTATTTCAGTTGCCAATAGATTGGTGAAATGCATTAATAACCCTTTTATAGCTGATCCTACTATCTATATCTCGGAAATGATAAGACCAAAAGGTTGGTCAAATTATACAAGTCCAAAACAATCACTTTTCCCAAGGCGCATTGTTTCGACGCGCAATTTACTAAATAACTTTTCTTCATCTCCTGGAAGACGCTAACTTGGTTGATGAAACGCGAGTCTAGAAGAGTATGGCATGTCTGGTGATTGCAAAAAGTGCTTGTTTTGGATATATTCTATGCCAAAGGTTACAGTTTTATCTTATATTTTAAATGAGACAAGAGTTGCCATTTGTGAAGTCAATAAAAACTTTGTTCATATCGTAACTGACAATGACTGTTTTTGAAATATTCACAAAAATCTTAAATTTTCGAATTTCATTGGTTGCTTCTATCGTCTCCATTTCAAATAATATCAAAATAAGCCCGACGAACTTGTGCTGTTTCATGTTTGTTATGATCTGGTAAAAACCAGTTTCCACAGAATATTACATTTTATTCTTATGGAAACAATTAGAGTACAATTCTGGAACAATTTGCAACATTAGGTATGTTAGATAAATAGTATAGTGAAATGTGTGGTTAATAACGGAAGGAGAGTAACATTGCGTCATAGATACTATGTTTTGTTGACATTATTATTCCAAATTTGTGTCTCATACTTCAGACTCAGATTTATGTTTTTTCGAAATATAACGTCTAAATTCTGAGTTTGAAGTTGGAATTTCTAAATTACAAAGTTTGGGTTTTAGTCGCGAAACTCATAATTATAATTTAGGAGGATGAGTTCTGTGGTTTTAGTTTTGTGATGGCAACAATGACAGTGAGATAACGACAGTACGACAGCGTATTTATTGTTTGTGAGGTTATGTTATATTATACGTTTCAACAAACGGAAAAAGGAAGCTTTGCTGTTTTCGGTCTTTAGATTTGCAATTATTGAAGTTTGTATTTGATAGTATTGTTTCAATTGTATATTGGTACTGTCAATTGAATTTACAAAAATGATTTGAGGACGACCTACACGAATTATACAAATGAAGTGACACGATATTGTGAAACTTTTGATGCACTAGTTTCGAGTGACAAAGCTATTCTATAGCAGATATGTCTTTACCTCCATATATATTGGGGCCAAACCCCTGGGCCACAATGATGGCCCAACAACACCTGGCGGCGGCTCATGCTCAAGCACAAGCAGCCGCTGCTCAGGCTCATGCACACGCTTTGCAACAGCAAATACCACCACCACATCCAAAGTCTGATGTTATGACTGAAGACAAACTACAAGAAAAAGGTACTAGTTATGCTTTTTATTTTTTTATATTCATATTACAGCTATTGTTTTCAGCCCAAAAATGGCATCAACTTCAATCAAAAAGGTTTGCGGACAAAAGAAAGTTGGGATTTGTTGAAGCACAGAAGGAAGACATGCCCCCAGAACACATAAGGAAGATTATAAGAGATCACGGAGATATGAGTAGTCGCAAATACAGACATGATAAGCGAGTCTATCTAGGGTAAATTTTTGTTTATTTGGACTTATAACGTTTTGTCCGCTAACCACAAATCTCTGCTTTCGGTAGTATGACCATTCCAAAATCAAAGATTGGACTATTTCGGGAACTTACTTAGTGTCATACAATAACACTATCCCATTCTGCAAACCTTTATTTACCCATTTCAGTGTTTTCAACGAATAAACAAATTGTTTTTCTCACAAAATTCCCTATACTTGGAATCATATTCTGAATGATATCGTCACTTCTCTCTAGTTTTCATCATTATTTCTTGTTGTCACCAAAAAGGCTAACTTATATTGGGTGATTCTCTTTTCTGATTTGTATTAACAATTTAAATTGGTGATGGTTTGTCAGAGAGGTAACTTCAGAAAAAAAAATGTGTATAAGCATATTGGGGACATTGTAATTAAATATTTTGATAGAAAAATATAGAAAGAAAATTTGAACGATAGCAAATTAATACTAACAACTAATGAAATAATTTGCAATTGAACTTTTCAAAGAATGGGTGGAATCTAGAAAAAAGTTCAAAACATTCGTCTTTGTCTCTCAGCCTTCCAGAAGTTGGGCTGGAAATCTGTAACTATTGAAGTGAATTTTTTTTTGAAAGATACTTTTATCGTCTAAATGTTTTAAATATTTTGCATACGATCAAATGGGAGTTGCAAAAAGAAGTGCATTAAGGTCTGCAGTGCGGGATTATGAAAAGTAGTAATTATTTTACAGGTTATTTCAGGAAGTGGTCTCTGAAATACAGACTTTTCTCTGGAGGGTCTCAAGTAGGAGAAAATAATTGATTAATTTTTAGGGCTCTAAAATACATGCCACATGCTGTAATGAAACTACTTGAGAATATGCCTATGCCATGGGAGCAAATTAGAGATGTTAAAGTTTTATACCATATTACTGGTGCCATTACCTTTGTCAATGAAATACCTTGGGTTATTGAACCAGTGTACATTGCGCAATGGGGGTAAGATTTCAAGTTTTTTCTTTGATAAAATTTAATATGTGTTTACCTCGCAGAACCATGTGGATTATGATGAGAAGGGAAAAGAGAGATCGTAGACATTTCAAGAGAATGCGTTTTCCTCCTTTTGATGATGAAGAACCCCCGCTCGACTATGCTGATAACGTTTTAGATGTCGAGCCACTTGAGGCTATTCAAATTGAACTGGATGCAGAAGAAGATTCTGCTATTGCAAAATGGTTTTATGATCATAAACCTCTAGTAGGGTCGAAGTATGTAAACGGACCCACTTATAGAAAATGGAACCTTGCTCTTCCAATGATGGCCACTTTATATCGTTTAGCTAACCAGTTGCTGACAGATCTTGTTGATGAAAATTATTTTTATTTATTTGACACAAAGAGCTTTTTTACAGCAAAGGCATTGAATATGGCTATTCCTGGAGGTCCTAAATTTGAACCACTAATAAAAGACATGAATCCTGCGTAAGTGAAATTCATCTGATAAAAATTATTTTCTGATTAAAATATATTTTCTACTCATGAATTATTTTTTTTAGGGATGAAGACTGGAATGAATTTAATGATATCAACAAAATCATTATAAGGCAGCCTATTCGTACGGAGTACAGGATAGCTTTCCCATATTTGTACAATAATATGCCCCATTTTGTTCATCTATCTTGGTAAGTTGTCATCTATTAGAATATGACTAAAACCACACAATCTAGAATTATCATTAGTTCATTTTAATGGTATTCTGGACATGTGGAATATAATTTTTAATTGCAACTTGATATTCTTTTCATTTTCAAGAGTCCAATGAAAATGCTGGTACGATGCAAACAGCTATACTTATTTTTATTTGCCAATGAACGAGCAAATACTCCTTTTACAGTTGTTGGATGACATATAAATTATTTTTCTGTTTTCAACTGGATCAAGTAAGAATACATTCACTCAGGTGTCCTTGCCTGTATAGTTATGTATAATCCGTGAATAATAACAAAATTAGGCACGCTAATGATTCATAACATAACGAAGGAGAAATGAGTTAAAACTACCTTACTCCTGTCTGGCTGTGATACAGGTCTCTACAAGTTATCAAGGCATCATATGCTTCAACTGTGCCATAGAACTATTTGGAAATACATACGATCTGCACACTTTTTAATCAACACTTTGCAGCTACCTAATAAAGAATGCATTTTATTTTGTGCAAGAATTTTTTAATTTCTAATGTTAAGTCAATTAAAAAGATGTTTTGAGCTTTTAATATGTGTGCATGTCTAAATTTTTTTAAGGACAAAACACAAGTAATACAGGAAAATCCTTAAAGCTCTCTAAGAGCGGTGCCTGTGCGAAAGTAGCGATTCACATTGGATTTGAATCGCTGGAGATTAAATCCATTTGGAAAAACTTTCTCAGGAACTTTATTCCACATAAACGATATATATTCATATTATACATCATTATGTCTTGAATTTTTCAAAAATTTCTACCATTTTTTTTATTCACTCTTGTTTTTCATAAGAATGTCTGCTTGAAGTAACTCGGTAAAGGTAACAAAATATTTTCCACCATTCCACGAAGTTGGCAAACATTTAAATAAATGAGCTCCAACAGATTAAGGGTGCGACTCCAATTCANTCAAGAGTTTGATCTTCGTCTTGAAGATGATCACTTCGTGATCGAAACACATATCGAGGTGTTTTTGACAAAATGGTTTAACACGGCTGAGGCCGTAGCTTTTTGGAATATCTTCCTGACGTTTCGCTGTCGCTTCCTCAGAGCTGTATACATCCTGAGTTAATATCTCCGATGACTGGATATTACGGCTGCGTAACACGTATTTATGTCAACTGCTCAGGTAGTTTGGTGTGCTAATACCAGGATCTGGCTTAAGTAAATTACGTAAAGAGTGTTTATATTGATTGAGGTAGTCTGGTGTGATAATACCTGTACCTGGATTTAGTAAAGTAGCAATAACGTTCGTTGATTTTCTACCTGCCGTCATGCTGTTTGCTATTCTTGAACTTCTTAGAATGGGATTCTATATATATACACCCCAACCATTTTCACATAATTATATGGTATATTAATTTCCTTTTCAATCAAAACCAAACCATAGGTGGTACTTTGAATTTTTTTTACCAAAATCTAGCCCTTTCACTTATACATGTTAGATTTATTGACCACTTCACACATTTACATGTGTTTGTAACATCCACATCAAGAGGTAACCTTAATACCAAAAAAATTACACAATACAAATTACAAATTATTATACGAAGGATAAGTAAATTAATCCTGAGATTGAGATGATGTAAAAGGTAAAAAATGTCATGTTTATAAATTTTCTTCTGTGAGGAAGATATGATTATCAAACTGGAGACCATAAATATTCTTCAAAGGAGTAAAAACATCGTTTAAAGAGATTGAATGGTTGAATTGGTTTTGAACCAAGATCTTGTTACTTAGAATGAATAGGGTACAGAAAACTTGAGAACGAATAAATGAGCTAATACAATATAATTTGTTTTAGGTATCATACTCCAAATGTGGTTTACATAAAAACTGAAGATCCCGATTTACCTGCTTTTTACTTTGATCCTTTAATTAATCCTATTTCGCACCGTCATGCAGTTAAGAGCTTGGAACCTCTACCCGATGATGATGAGGAATTTATTCTTCCTGAGACTGTCCATCCATTTATGCAAGAAACTCCCTTGTATACTGATAACACAGCTAATGGAATAGCTCTCTTGTGGGCTCCTCGACCATTCAACATGAGATCGGGTGAGTTTAGTAATTTGATAGGTTGACAAAAATGAAAAGAAAATTCAACATTAAAATATCTAAAATAAACAAAAATTGTCCGTAATCAAAAGATCTCTGGATTCGTTTACAAAAACTATATGATATGAAAAAGAAAGGTTTTGGCTTTCTACTTCTGCATTCATTTATACACTGATTTATTCCGTACATATTCATTAAATCACAGGCTAAGATGAATTTAATATTGGATCTAGGCAAATCTTCACATATATGCTCAAAATCATCAAGAAATATTGAGTGACTAGCATCAGAGGAATGATACAAAGAGCTAATCAACATGATTTTCTTTATAATACACCAATAGTTGCCATTTAAAACATATTGTTTGCCTATTGAATACATTTTTATGTGCAATGAAACTTTCAATGTCACTGTATATAATGTTTGGATTCAAATGTATATTAGGATACAGTTCTAGTTTTTTTTTTACATTATTTTTACTTACAATGGTAGGTACATTGTTGAAATATCTGATTGTTTTTGAGTTTTCACATTTTTTTTTTGTATGATCCCTTTGTTTTTTATTGGATGTTGAATCACCCAGTGATTTAAGAGACATTAATGATATTGGAAGGCTTAGAAAAACTATTCATTTTATTTTTCTAAACCGTCCATACTATAGTATGACTTGAATTTTTTAGATAATGTTTGAATTTCTTTTTTTGTATTCCATCTAAATTTTATCATGCAAGTTGTGATATCACTTTTACCATATTCTTATTTAATTGTATTGCGGTGTTTCTCTGTTTGGTCTTCTCATTATTGTCATTATTGTTTCATTATAAGTATTCTTTTGCAAAAATTTTATACTCTTCATTATTATATTCCGCAGGGTAGTATATTGGGCCCAATACTTTTCATTATATATATACAAATGACACAAACCTGGTGGTAAATTCAAATTCCACTCACATAGTTAATTACGCTGATGATACTAACCTATTGTTGACAGGTGCAAACTTATCACACGTAATGAAACATGGTAATATTGTAATAGAAAGGACAAAAAACTTTTTTCTGGAAAATACATTTATTTTAAATGATGGAAAAAACAGATTGTGTCATGTTCAAAATTGATAACATCTATAGTTATTACAGAAATAGAAATATCTCAGATCAAATTAGCGATTCAGATGATGTAATAATTGTTCCTAATTGTACTTAATCTGGTAGGGAAATGAGAGCTCCATGTAGACTGAACTATTCCTAAAAAAAAAAAAAATTATTGAGTAAGGGAAATGTAATAAATTGAAATAGATCCTATTTGTATGTGTATACCACCATGTATATTCACATTGTACCTACCACTTTTTATATATATGTTTTTGATGAATGGTATGTTTACTTCCTCAAAATAAAGAGTTGTTGAAATGGAATCGTAGAATCATTACAGCGTCGAAACATCATAAATGACAAACAACAGGCTGTCCTTGTATTTTCTCAAGTTGATCTGATGATCAAAGCCACCTCGATTATCGATACACCATTAATGTATAAATGAATATATTACATATTTCATTTTTATGTAGATACTGTTTCAACAGAATTGATTTTTATGGCAATGAAGTATATTCTGATTCTGATCATTTACTATGACCAACACAATTTTTGTTGCAGTTCTCGTTGCTTATTTTAGGAATTCCAAACTTCTTAGTTTTCATCATTCTCTATTTAAAATTGCCTTATATTTATCGAAGTGAATGACCTATGTTGGAAACTAGTGTTGTATATAACTTATTAGTTTATCTTGGTTCATATGGAATAAAAAAAACTTAAACTCATGATCTTTTTGAAAAGTTGAAAACGTAACTGTTTTCAATATCGCATTAATTTATTAAATTAGTTGTGAAGATTTTAATAAATGATATGTTGATCAAATTAAAAAAGCTATAAAAATTTATTTCAAGGAATATACAACATATAAATTTTGTAGATCAGACTTGTCTATGATTGCAAAAAATGCTTGAAAATTGGTATGTTTTTGCCAGTGTTTCTTTTTTTCATATCTCTCACATTTTATGAATTTGAATTGTAGGACAGAAATGTGTTAGCAAATAATGCATTATTCATCAGAACTGGTTCTACTTGTTATGAAAATTGAGTAAAATAAGTTCATAACATTTGTTGATATGCATCTAGAATGAAAAATTGTTACTCAAGGAGAAATGCCACTAACATTTGACTTTGTAAACTTTACTGGTTTCTTTTACTATTAGGTCGGTGCAGAAGGGCCATCGATGTCCCTCTTGTCAAATCCTGGTACATGGAACACTGTCCACCAGGTCAACCTGTTAAAGTGAGAGTCAGCTACCAAAAACTGCTCAAGTATTACGTGCTGAATGCCCTCAAACACCGTCCACCCAAACCACAGAAGAAGAGGTACTTGTTTAGATCTTTCAAGTCGACAAAGTTTTTCCAGACCACCACCCTAGATTGGGTGGAAGCTGGCTTGCAGGTTTGTAGACAGGGTTACAATATGCTTAACCTGCTGATTCACAGGAAGAATCTCAATTACCTCCATTTAGATTACAATTTTAATTTGAAACCAGTGAAGACCCTGACCACAAAGGAGAGAAAGAAGTCTAGATTCGGAAATGGTGAGTTCAAGATTTTGTGAAATATATATAAAATACTTTGAAATTATTGTTATGATAACTAACTAATGAATAGTTTGTATTAATTTACCATAAATGCAATATTCGAATTATATCTAGACAATAATCGTAGAATCTTGTCATCAGTAGTTAAAAAAAAAGACCATTGTGAAAACAAACCTCAAAAGTTGATATTTGTGTGACCCACAGATCAAGCTGATGGAGTTAAGCACCAATCATTGAAAAATAGAAAAACAAATGATTTCTCAATTACCATAAGTTTTTTCTAGTTACTCTTACATCTACCTTAATTGGGGATTTTTACACATAATATAGTCAGTGGGCAAACTTGAAGACTGGCTATAAATCAAATCATCTGCAGGAACAATTCGTTCAGGCCAGTCTCAACTCCCTACACTGTAGGTTAATGGACTGACACCTATCAGAAAACAACTACTACCCTGGCTAATACCACGAAGGGCGTTGAATTACGTCTGACAGGTATCAGTGCAATAATCTTCACTGAAGTATTTTCTGAATATGTTGTAGGCAATACAACTGCTGGAATCAATTTTCAATTATTGAATGGGCACACTTGCAGGTAGTGGCCATCATCAACATAGAGTCGATGATATTACATTATTAAAATTCGAACTTCTTTCAGTGTATCATTCCTTGAACTGAGAGGAAGCGAACAATAAACAACACTGCACCAACTAAAACCGTTCTGCAAGTGTGCCCGTTCAATAATTGAAAATTGATTCTGGCAATTGTATCGCCAACAGCATATGCAGGAAATACTTCAGAGAAGATTCCTGCACTAACACCTGTCAGATATAATCCAACGTCCTTCGTGATATTAGCCAGGGGAGTAGTTGTTTTCTGATAGGTATCAGTCCATTAACCTACAGTGTAGGGAGTGGAGGCTGGCCTGAATGAATTGTTCCTTTAGATGATTTTTAATTTGGAAAGACTAAACACATTTGAATATGTATCAGTAACTCAGTAACATTACATTTTATATTTGACTTATATTTCATCATTTTCCTTTTTGAAGAATAGACTAAACTGAAAAACCTCGAATATCTGGAATTGTTGAGGAATTTACTTGATGTAACCTGAAATTTCATGTTAGGTTTCATAGTTGTTTTGGATGAGGAAAAATTGTGCTAACCTGATCAATTTATATATCCGATACAAGTCCACCAACTTACACGCTAATGAAAACGAAATGATGTAGCTATTTACTTTGAACAATATATCTCGTTTTATTTTTGAAATTCACTTTTACTTCATGTTACGATTTTGTGTTGATTTCATAACAGCACTTTATTAATTATTCTGTAAAAACATTTCATATTCCATTTTGCAACTCCATTATGGCAATTTGAATTCCCAGTAAACAGAATATTTTATTAATTTATTGCATGATATCACCCCTTTTATACAAGAATCAATTCGAAAATTAAAGACGAGACTAAAAATGTAAAATGAGACTCCAAGTAAACACAAGCACATGAAAATATGTAAAAGCACTAAGATAAACAGAATTATAGATTATAAAATTCAAAATACAGAGATAAATGGGGAGAATAATATATAGGATACATATAAGTAATAAATGAATACATTAAAAATTTGGTGTATAAATAATTTTTAAGTTTCTCTTGGAAGACATTTGAATTTTGACAGGCCTATACCTGTGAACTATTAGATGTAGATTTTTTTTCATCGAACATACTAAATGAATGATCAATATTAGACAGAGCCGTACCGAATTTCAGGTTAAAATTTATAATTATGATATAAAATTTACCCGTTTAACCACTATGAACTATGAAGTGTCTACAGTTTATTAGTTATGAAAAAAACTTTTGGTGTAGTATAGGGGGATTGAAATCGCATAACTTTTCAATAAACAGCATGTAAACAATGTAAATTGTCAATTGGTCTGAAAATCAAAAAAGTTGCCAACGATAAACTTCTGTGAATGTATTCCTCATATTCCTTTCCTACTTGTAAAAGAAAAGGATGCTTAACTGCAACCATATACAAATATGAAATATGATTTCTTATTCCTTGATTTTCTGAACATTATTCTGGATTGGCTTTTTCCCTCTGTCTGTATCTGACAGAAATATCTTTGTTCATATTTAACAAATAGTTTTTATAATTTTCTTTCATTCTTTGGAAGTTTCCATTCTTCATTAATGAATAGAGAAAGAACTGAAAAACGTTAATAAATCAGCATGACTCAATACTCAATTGTTTTTATATTCTTCAGTAATGATTAATTTTTGATTTGCTTTTTTTAGCTTTCCACTTATGTAGGGAGATATTGCGCTTGACCAAACTGATAATAGATTCCCACGTACAGTATAGATTAAACAATGTGGATGCCTTTCAATTGGCTGATGGATTGCAGTACATTTTCGCTCATGTAGGACAATTGACAGGAATGTACAGATACAAATATAAACTCATGAGACAAATACGTATGTGCAAGGACTTGAAGCATCTGATATATTACAGATTCAATACGGTAAGTTAGTTTTTATACTTGATAATGGGATAAAACCTGAAATCGGTCATAAAAATAAAATAACTACTGGAAATTAGTGTTTTCGTTCATTTCATTGAAGTGATCATGAATTTGCACAAAAACAAATAATCAATTACACAAATAAGATTTATTTGTCTATATATCCATTTATTTTCAGTTTTAAAAGCCTTTTTTTTTTAACCAATGGTCCCTGTTTTAGGGTCCAGTTGGAAAAGGACCGGGTTGTGGAATTTGGGCTCCAGGTTGGAGAGTATGGCTGTTCTTTATGAGAGGAATTACTCCTCTCCTGGAAAGATGGTTGGGTAACTTGCTCTCACGTCAGTTCGAAGGGCGTCATTCGAAGGGTGTTGCTAAAACAGTTACCAAACAGAGAGTAGAGTCACACTTTGATCTTGAACTGAGAGCATCTGTCATGCACGATATCGTTGATATGATGCCAGAAGGTGAGTTAATGAATTTAAGGTTCAAATTTTTTTTATTCTAGCGGGACTGATGTTGAGACTTCTGGAGACATACTTGAAGTAGCTATTGAATAATGTAACGTTTGTTGCTGATTTATGTGGAAATCTTATACAAGAGTTATTCAAGTACCTTTAAAAAGAATAGAATTATTAGTTTCCACACAATAAGTTGAAATCATTACCAGATTTCCACATCTCATAGTTACATTTATATTATTGAATTCATAAGGGTTACCAGTTCCATAAATGAGGGTCCTTATATTATTAGATGTTTACACAGATTGGTAAAATATACATATGAGAAACTCATTTTCTCCAATGTTGATTTGCACCCTCTGCAATCTCCATAACTTGGTTTCAGACTTTGTTGACAATTTGATAACAGAAATTTCAGCTTAGTTGCATTCACTTTTTAAGTAAAAAATGACTGAATTTTAAACTGTGGTATTTTAAGTTCTTTCAGTAGAGAACTAAATGCTTTTATTGTCTGATAATAATGTCCTCTCTTGTGATATGAAGAATTATGACTGAGGATAGACAGTTCGTTACAATGCTTGACAGTTCTTTACAATGTTTGGTATTCATATTATCAGAATATTGATTAGTGTTTCTATGAAACAGAGTAGAATACCTCTTTACAAAGCAGGCAAGACAATATAAGTACAGCAAACTTCTTACAAGAGTTTCTGCCATCTATATTCGGGATACATCTCAATTCTTTTTGTGTAATGAATATTCTTTGTGAGTATAACCATAAAATATACCATTAAAACCACACCTGAGAATTTTGTCTGGTCAGATATTGGATTAGACTTATTTTGGAGATTCCTCATAGTTCCAAAGAATCTATTTAACACCTGCTTCTTTCGTTAACCAGATGCCGGTCCCTGACACGACAGCATCCAGAAGTCAAAACTTGTGATAAGGAATATTGATGTCTCACCATTTAACGTACGATTCTTAAAGCCGTTTACAGAGATCGTTTGGCCGCCGATCTCAAACCAGCATTCTACAAAATGTTCATTGAATAAGTAGAATGTACCGATAATGTCAACTGACCGCCCTGTTTATTGATTTGTCGAAATGTACAAGTTCTGATTTGGTGACATTTACTTGTTCAGATTTAATAAATATTTGGTTAAAAGTTATTTTTGGCAAATGTTTACCTATTTTTATAATCCCAGTATGTATGTACAGTATAATGTCATTAATCTGGCACTATTAAGAACCAGAGGGTGTCGGATTATTGGAATGTTAGGATTACTGAATTATAGAGAAAAAAATCATAGTAAATAAAATAGTGTCATGCGTTTCCATTTACTTGACATTTTCAACTACACACTATTCTCACTTTATAACAACAAGTAAATACGTACGCACGTGCACGTGATAAGTTTTGAGGTTAGACAGCTAGACAACGACACGACGATGAAGCGCATGGGTGGAGAGGGGTGAGGGAGACGCGGGCGGAAGGTGCTGGATTATTGGATGTATCAGTCTATTGAAGTGCCAGATTAGTGAGATACTACTGTATATAAATATATAATGTTTCTGAGGATAATAAACATAAGCGTAATATTTGCTTCTGACAATCTTTATAGAGCTATGCAAAATATATAGTAAAACCAATAATGATTGAGAGTAAAGCGCGTTGTCATATCTAAATTTTACGTTACCAGTTTATAGCAGAATCAAAATATAGTAAGCAGTAGAGTTGTAGGTTGTGGCAAATTATAGATAATACACAATACTAGTACGATTAAAAGGTATTATTTATGACAAAAATCAGTAATGAGCTTGTAATGAGTNTTCAAGGCTAGAGTTGAGCACTCACTATTAAGGCACTGTTTCTACTCCTTCGACAAATATTTGAATTGTAAGACATTAATCTTTAATTATGTTAAATGTGTTTTAATTTTTTTTAATTTCCAAAAATACCTATTTTAGATGTAATCAGCGTATATAACCACAATTATTGTTCAATTATTGTTATTCTTGTTTGTCAGTTTTGGTCACTCATGTACATTTTGTAGTCAATGTGATGAAATAAACTTACTTACTTAGTTTTAATATCTATTTAAACACATTTTTGTAATAAGACTTGCTACAAATGTGAACTTACATGAACATAGTCAAATAAAGTATGTCTATGTCTACTATTTGACATGGCTGATACCTTGTTTGAGAGTTCCAATGTATTAGTTCCTGTGACCATGACTGATGTGTATTCTGTGAACTAATATACATTACCCAGATTCAGAGCTTTGGGTAGGTCGTTCATATATAGAAGAAAGGGAATTAGTTCAAGGATCAAGCCCAGGGGTACACCTTGTCTGATTATGATTCTTCTTGATGTATAATGATTTTGTTCAATTATTATGCTAACAATTTGGGATTAACCCACACCTTTTCAAAACTGGCACGAAGGACATAGTGACAAGTAAATCAAAACAATCAATGACTATCATTGCACATGGTGCCCTTTAAATTTGTGTACGAATATATTTGTCAATTTTGTTAGTCTTTACTAATCTCTTTCGCAACTCTGTGATGTTTTTTTGTTTTGTTTATTAGTACTAACCAAACTCCCTCCCCTTTATAACAGTACAAGCATATTCATCTTCAAGTAAACAGCTTATCTGTTTATCAGAATAAGCAAATAAATATGCAAACAAACAAACAGTGAGAGTATATTTTTTGACTGGAAAAATAATTAACTGAGGTTATGTGAGTCAATTTGTTTTTCAATATAAAGGGAATAATAACCCAATATATGCTTGTGGTTACTTTTGCCGAGTATTGGTTCGAAATTTCAGACTCATTTTATTCTGTATGATTTCGGCATCATTTTCTAGAACTACTTTTCAGAGTTTGGAGGCGATGGTGAAATTATTGTTACTGAAATGTTTCGTATTTTTAGGCCATCATCTGTTGACATTTCTTTCTGGTGTTGGAGGTACCTATAACCTTAGTGATAATACAGACCTCTGAAAATGCCAGCCACTTGCGTCAACGAAACGTTACAATAACATTCCAACAGACTATTGTCTAAAAACCCAAAACCATAAACCTTTACTGTCACTACTGACAATATTTTTTTTAATCATATTACTAATAATATTTATTTTACAAACAACACAAATGAAAAATAATTGCAAATGCGCATATCCACTCCAAAAGTCCATAGTCACGAGACGGTACTGAAGGAGTAACTTAACTGCACTCCTTTTACTCCGTTTCTTAAATCCGAAAGATTAAGAGTGAAAAGAGTTATTGTAGTTAATATCCGAACTCACCTGTTGAAAAAAGGCTAAAATGAAGTAATTTTCAGGAATTAAACAAAACAAGGCGAGAACAATTCTACAACATTTGTCAGAAGCGTGGCGATGCTGGAAAGCTAACATCCCCTGGAAAGTTCCAGGGTTGCCAATACCCATTGAAAACATGATTCTTAGATATGTCAAGATGAAAGCCGATTGGTGGACAAATACAGCCCATTATAATCGAGAGCGGATACGCAGGGGAGCAACGGTTGACAAAACTGTTTGCAAAAAGAATCTTGGTCGACTGACCAGGCTGTATCTCAAAGCTGAACAGGAACGACAGCACAATTACTTGAAAGACGGACCCTATATTTCTCCTGAAGAAGCTGTGGCTATTTATACAACAACAGTTCACTGGCTAGAGTCGAGAAGATTTGCACCAATCCCGTTCCCTCCACTATCATACAAGCATGACACAAAATTATTAATCCTGGCTCTTGAAAGGTTGAAGGAGGCCTATAGTGTTAAGTCTCGACTAAATCAGAGCCAGAGAGAGGAGTTAGGACTCATAGAGCAGGCTTACGATAATCCTCACGAGGCTCTCTCTAGAATCAAGCGTCATTTGCTAACACAAAGGGCTTTCAAAGAAGTTGGTATAGAATTTATGGATCTTTACAGTCATCTCATACCTGTATATGATGTGGAACCTTTGGAAAAAATCACTGATGCTTATTTGGATCAGTACCTCTGGTATGAAGCAGACAAGAGAAGACTGTTTCCTCCATGGATCAAACCTGCAGATTCTGAGCCGCCTCCGCTATTAGTGTATAAGTGGTGCCAGGGCATAAACAACCTCCAAGATGTTTGGGATGTCAATGAAGGAGAGTGTAATGTCCTATTAGAATCCAAATTTGAGAAACTTTACGAAAAGATAGATTTGACTTTGTTGAACAGGCTGCTGCGTCTGATTGTCGACCACAACATTGCCGATTACATGACAGCCAAGAACAATGTTTTTATCAACTATAAAGATATGAACCACACCAACAGTTATGGTATCATTCGTGGGTTGCAATTCGCATCATTTGTTACTCAATATTATGGACTTGTTTTGGATTTGTTGGTACTTGGCTTGCAGAGAGCCAGTGAGATGGCAGGACCACCACAAATGCCAAACGATTTTTTGACATTCCAAGATGTGCAATCAGAGACTTGTCATCCGATCAGACTGTATTGTAGATATGTGGATAGAATTCACATGTTTTTCAGGTAAGAGATATCTTTTATGGATTAATTAAACGTTTCCATGCTGTAAATTTTTTGAATGTAGCTCAACTTCAATGATAATATAATAATAACAGTAATGATAAATATGCTTTATTGTCTAAAGAGTTGATCATATTTTCTTATCAATAAGATAACTCCATTCTGGAATAACATGACTCAAGCGACTTTTGTAAAGGATTTTGCTTTATTCCAACAATAAAATTCATTACATTGAAGAAAATCTACAAGTTAAAGTGGTGAACTGACACATGGGTAGTTGACCCGACTCACAATCGAATGGACGTGATCCATGATAATAATTACACAATTTTCACAAACCTTCTTTATTTCTGGACGTGTTTCGTTGACACCGTAGCTTCCTTGGTAGAGGAAGCCTCGGTAACTTTGGTAGAGGTATCAAAGAAGCTACGGTGTTTGTGAGACACGTCTAGAAATAAATGTTTGCGAAAATTGTGTAATTATTATCATGGATAGTGTTATCAATTTTGATCAAGTAACGGGTCAGTCCATTCATAATATGAAAGGTCGTGAGTTCGATCCCAACCTTGACCAGATATTTTTCTCAGGAGAATTTATCTAGTTGAAGTGGGGATGATTCTGATATTTTACATGGCTGATGGACCGCAAATAGCCCTATGTGGCTTGTGGAGTTATTACTATTGCTTACCCAGAACACGAGGCTAATTACCAAGCAGTTGGTGCTATTGACACCCAAGAAAAAACTTACAAGTTAAATGTGATGTTGCAGTCGGAAATTTTTGTTTTTTAGATTTTCAGCAGAAGAGGCCAAGGATTTGATACAAAGATATTTGACTGAGCATCCAGACCCAAATAACGAAAACATTGTTGGCTACAATAATAAAAAATGTTGGCCAAGAGATGCCAGGATGCGATTGATGAAGCATGATGTAAATCTGTAAGTTATCAAAACTGTTTTTGAAATCTTATCTAAATGCTTGTTTTGTATAGCGGAAGAGCAGTATTCTGGGACATTAAGAACCGGTTACCAAGGTCAGTGACCACCATTCAGTGGGAAAGCAGTTTTGTCAGCGTCTATTCCAAGGATAACCCTAACTTACTTTTCAATATGTCTGGCTTTGAATGTCGTATCTTACCAAAGGTATACATACATCGAGAAATCATAACACCATACCATAATAATTAATATCTTTCAGTGTCGTACACAACATGATGAATTCACTCACAGAGATGGTGTGTGGAATTTGCAACATGAAGGCAGCAAAGAAAGAACTGCTCAATGCTTTTTGAGAGTGGATGATGAATCTTTGAGTCGTTTTCATAATAGGGTTCGCCAAATCTTGATGGCATCTGGATCCACAACATTTACTAAGGTATTTAGAATTTTCCTTAGAATTACCCTCGTTAGGAGCAGAAAAAAACTGTCACTTGTATAAATTGAGGGAAGTTCTTGGTCAATATTTTGTTTATGTTTGTTTCAGTAACTATTTAGCTTTTATGCCATTCTTATTTACTTCGGATATACTATAATAGTTTGAGAGATTACAATAAAGCTTGTAATATGTTATTTCATGAAAATGAATTACAATAGTTGAATAATATTCACTCAAATGTAAAACTAGTATAACTTGGGAGAGGGTGTCTTACCAAGAAGTTGGTATTTGAACTTTGATCATTTTTAAAGCACAATTGTGTTCTTTCAGATTGTCAACAAGTGGAACACAGCCTTGATTGGTTTGATGACTTACTTCCGAGAAGCTGTTGTCAACACCCAAGAACTTCTTGATCTCCTTGTCAAATGTGAGAACAAAATCCAAACTCGTATCAAGATTGGTCTAAACTCCAAGATGCCTAGCAGATTTCCTCCAGTAGTCTTCTATACCCCAAAAGAACTGGGAGGGCTTGGTATGCTGTCAATGGGTCATGTTCTCATCCCCCAATCTGACCTCAGGTGGTCAAAACAGACTGATGTGGGTATCACTCATTTCCGATCTGGTATAAGCCACGACGAGGACCAGCTTATTCCGAATTTGTACCGTTACATCCAGCCCTGGGAATCTGAGTTTATTGACTCTCAGAGAGTTTGGGCTGAATATGCTCTGAAACGACAGGAGGCAAATGCGCAAAATAATAGGCTCACTCTTGAGGATTTGGAAGATTCCTGGGATAGAGGAATACCAAGAATAAACACTCTGTTCCAGAGGGACAGGCACACCTTGGCTTATGATAAGGGTTGGAGAATTAGGACAGAGTTCAAACAGTATCAAGTATGTTGATTTTTTCATTCATTCAATAATACAATTTTGCTTTTCAATCATTCTTCACATTCAAATCTTTTTTTTTTTGTTATTCTTAGGTACTGAAACAAAATCCTTTCTGGTGGACTCATCAAAGACACGATGGTAAATTATGGAATCTAAACAATTACAGAACTGATATGATTCAAGCCCTTGGGGGTGTAGAGGGCATATTGGAACATACTTTGTTCAAAGGAACATATTTTCCTACATGGGAAGGTCTTTTCTGGTATGTTGATCTAGTTACTATTGTATGAATAGATAATATATTGTGGTGTACGCTGAAAAAAAGGTACATGGTGTGTCAAAAAATGAGATTTGACTTAACGAAGGTACATAGTGAGTCATTTCAAAAATACACTACAATTTACAACAGGAAACATTTTTTTCATTAGTTTCAATTACTTTACGTCGACAAGCGGCTTCAGAGTGTATGAATTCAAAATCAGGATAATTTTTTTGGTGTATGTTCCAAAAAGTAATGTATTCTTCAAAAAACATTGATTAGGCTTTCCTTAATGGCAAAAACGCTGAAAAATTAATGATAAAAAATGATAATCTTTTCTTAAGAATAACAAATTTTCGAAAAACAATAAATTAATTGAACACAATGAATTTCCCTCGAGAATAACAAAATTATCTCCAACTAAAGTCACAAATCACAAATATTTAATTGTTTGCTTTCAACGTTGTTTTTTTTCCAATTTGTGTTTCGTTTTTTCTTTCGCTTTGGCTGTACTACAGATGTGGCTGCTGACTCTTGCATTTTTTTTTTCATTTAGGCCTTGGGCAACAATATCTCTTTTATTTAGGTGTGTACAAAGGGAACGAATGTTGTCAAAAATGAACCATTGCCGGTGTAATGATAGTCCCTCAGATAAAATGATTGACGGCAAATTCTTCAGATTGTTTTTTTGTAAACACAGATGAAAATTTTTGGCTTCCGAATTAATGAATTGTTCTTCTGAAAATGGGCCTCCCAACACTATGACGTCATTAATAGCATTGACCTTGACTGATGTCACACGGCCTTTAGCTATGTTCAAGGTCATATTACCTTGAACATGGAAAGTTGGCCTTGAGATACATGGCCTTGAGTTTCAACCTTGAAGGACGTCTAAGGTTTGATCTTGAAGGGTGTCCTTCCATTATGTTCATGAAACATGACCTTGCACGTGGAATTTGACTTCGAACGTCGATTTTGACCCTTGAGATTATCACGAAGATCTACCAACTAATGAGCGGTCCTTTCTGTTAGCTAATCAAGTTGGACGGTACCTTTCGAGATAACACCCTCTTCCTCTACACGCCTGCACTATGCGAAGTTCCGAGGACCACTGTTTGCTCGTATCGCCTTCTGATAGCGCATCGAGTTAGTATTGGTGGTGGGATGCCTGTGACGTCGAGAGGCTGTAGTGGGATGTCTCCTCTCGGGGCAGAGAGTGCACAGTGCACACGTTTACACTGCGTAAAGTACCTACGACTACTGCCTGCTCGTATCGCCTTCTGTCAGCATATCCCACCTAATAGTAATACGCTGTAAAACTTCAAACGGGTTTTTCTTGAAAGCTTGTTTTCATACACTATGTATCTTTTTTTGGCGAACACAACATATTAGTTTCTTTAGGTTGTTTTTACAACCTAAATTGTTGAAACAATAGTCATTATCGAAATTAACGTATGAAATTATATTTTTGAGTATATTTCAGAAATATATTTTTATTCGTTTATTTTCAATGGATGGTACCAGAATTTGGATAAGATATCTTAATTTTTCACGTTTTTAGAAGTACTTGAATTCAATAAAGCATCAGAACAGATCATTCTTTGCAAGTATCCATCAGAATGTAATTCATCATTAGATTTAGAAATTCAGTTTTAATAATAAAGACATTTTCACTGGCATTGCACCAATACTATGGTTTTTATATCTTTGTTTTTCATATCTGCTTGTATCTTATAAGTAACAATCATGATCCTACAATATATCCTATATCAATCAAATGGACAAAATGCTTCATTAATGCACAGAAATTAGGTCCATATTTGTAATAGAAACAATTTATATCTTTTTTAAAATGTCATACAAAATTGACTATCTTTTCTTTTTTGAACATTGTACAATATATTTTCAATATGTTTCCATCTGCTGTTAAACAAAACTTTGATACATGTTCCAAAAGTAATTATTTCTCAACCATTATTGTGGACAGATATTACCTGAAAAATAGTCTTTTGAAACAGTTTTTTCTAATGATGTCCGTTACATCTGGGACTGATTTTATTATTGTAATTTTTTTTCAGGGAAAAGGCATCAGGGTTCGAAGAGTCAATGAAATACAAAAAATTAACAAATGCTCAAAGATCTGGTTTGAATCAAATCCCCAACCGTCGATTCACCTTGTGGTGGTCTCCTACCATAAACAGAGCAAATGTATATGTTGGTTTCCAGGTGCAGCTTGACTTGACGGGTATTTTCATGCATGGTAAAATTCCCACATTGAAAATATCATTGATTCAAATCTTCAGGGCTCACTTGTGGCAAAAAGTTCACGAATCAATAGTAATGGATTTGTGTCAGGTTGGTGTAATGGCATCCGAAGGATGAAACTTGTCCTACATGTCCCACAAGTGATTGAATTTGTTGTCATCATTTCAGGTATTCGATCAAGAGTTAGATGCTTTGGAGATAGAAACTGTACAAAAGGAAACCATTCATCCCAGGAAATCTTACAAAATGAACTCGTCCTGTGCTGATGTTCTCTTGTTCTCTGCTTATAAATGGAATGTTTCCAGGCCATCGTTGTTGGCAGATACAAAGTGAGCAACTATGATTATTGAAGTAATGAAACAACTTATATGTAAATTTTATTTTCACAGAGACACTATGGATAATACCACTACTCAGAAATATTGGATAGATGTGCAACTTAGATGGGGTGATTATGATTCTCATGATGTTGAACGATACGCAAGGGCAAAGTTTTTGGATTACACTACAGATAATATGTCTATATATCCTTCACCAACTGGAGTACTCATTGCTATTGATTTAGCATACAATCTTCATAGGTGAGAAAATAAATGCTATTTTCATTATATTCTTTGAATACCGACCCATAATCCACACCAAGCTGTGACTTTTTCGGGATGCATCGGTAGCTTTTGCAATGCTTGTGGCTGGTCTTCACTCCAGGTGCGGCAATTTTGCTTGTTAACGTATCCTTTCAACCAGAAATGAGCCTTGTCGCTGAGCACAATTTTTCAATAAAAATGTGGATCTTCCTCCAACTTTGCCAGCGCCCATTCACCTGTTAGACGTTGTGGGAGGTCGTGTGGCTTCAATTCTTGCACCAGCTGTATCTTATAAGGTTTTACACCCAAATCCTTTCGCACAATTTTCCACGTAGTGGAGTAACAGAAGCTCAATTGCTGCGAACGGCGGCGAATCGACATTTCACGGTCATCACGAACACCGGCGTATACAGCCGCAATATTTTCTTCGGTCCTCACTCTACGTATGCGTGTTGGTGGTTTAATGTCCAATAACGTAAACTGGGTTCGAAATTTAGTCACAAACTTCCAAATAGCTCCCTCAGTAGGCCGACGAAACTGCCCATAAATTGGAAGAAGTGCATGATGCACTTTCTTTACCGAGCATGAATTTTGATAATAAAATTCCATAATTTGCAAGCGTTGTTCATTCGTAAGTCGATTCATGGTTAAATTATAGACCAAACTGAACAAGTTTGACAATGACACAAGACACGATTCACGCGTGATCTGTCAAAAACAGTGTTGCCAAAAAGATAGCAGCAAAAAAATCACTCATTAATTGACTCATCGTTTAACCCATTTATGAATTCATTTTCATTTCAGATCACAATACTTTGTTTTTTCAAAAACTAAGCATTCTTACAACTTTCATTTTTCTAATTTCATCACTTTTTTACATTATTTCAGTTTTGACTAATTCACTTTCGGTTATTTTTATTTTCATTTGAATATTTTAAATCTTTTAACACTGATTTAGACAACGATAAAAATGAAGGCAATTACAAATAATATTAAGGCCAAAAACACAAAACTGATTGAACAAATCGAAACTACAGGCTGGTTTGAATTTTTCCTCTGGATTGAATTAGCACCTTTCAATGAGGAAAGATTTGACCTGTTCATTGGAAGTTGATGGTCTATTATATTAGGTGAAATTTGGTTGTCTTGTGGGTGGATATTATTAACCGATGCCCTTGATATTTGCCAGGGTCATAAATAGATCAATTAGTCAAGAAAATTGTCAGGTTTTTTTTTCAAAACACTATAAAATTGCTTTTTGAATATATACATAATATTTTCAATTTATCTCTTCCAATATAAAGTTTTTATGCCAGTTTTTAGATACTTTACCTACCAACTGACAATTTCAACACATGTAAGTCATGTCAAAAAATGGAAATAAATAATGATTGATTGAAAATAAAACATTAGCAAGTTGTTGAGTTGATATTTTCTTCTTATAGCGCCTATGGTAACTGGTTCCCTGGATGCAAACCATTAATTCAACAAGCCATGGCCAAGATCATGAAAGCCAATCCTGCGTTATATGTTTTAAGAGAACGTATCCGAAAAGCTTTACAGCTGTACTCTAGTGAGCCAACGGAACCATATCTGTCCAGTCAAAACTATGGAGAACTGTTCTCCAATCAAATTATTTGGTTTGTGGACGACACCAACGTATACAGGGTCACAATTCATAAAACATTTGAAGGAAATTTAACAACGAAACCCATTAACGGAGCCATATTCATTTTCAATCCTAGGACAGGACAGCTGTTTTTGAAAATCATCCATACTTCTGTTTGGGCGGGGCAGAAACGTTTGGGACAGGTAATAGATTAATGATTCTTTAGTTGAATATTGGATGACATCCTAAACATTAAATTTCATTTCAGTTAGCCAAGTGGAAGACTGCAGAAGAAGTTGCTGCTCTTATTCGTTCTTTGCCTGTTGAAGAACAACCCAAACAAATTATAGTAACTAGAAAGGGTATGTTGGATCCCTTAGAAGTGCACTTGCTGGATTTCCCCAACATTGTCATCAAAGGATCAGAACTTCAGCTGCCTTTCCAGGCTTGCCTGAAAATCGAGAAGTTTGGTGATCTTATTCTAAAAGCTACAGAGCCACAGATGGTTCTGTTCAACTTGTATGATGATTGGTTGAAGTCGATTTCATCATATACGGTAACTTTCAATAATTACTTATATTATTTCATTGACAATGGTCCTATTGGGCCTATGTGATAGTCGTATCTGGTCAAATAGAGTAAAGCTTTTGTCATGTATTTCAGGCCTTCTCCAGATTGATTCTCATACTGAGAGCATTGCATGTCAATACAGAAAGAACCAAAGTTATATTGAAACCAGATAAGACCACCATAACAGAACCACATCATATTTGGCCTACATTATCAGACGATGAATGGATCAAAGTGGAGGTGCAACTCAAAGATCTCATACTCGCTGACTATGGAAAGAAAAATAAGTGAGTTCATTTTTCTTGATTTTTGAACCCTCACCTTTCCTGTTTTTGTATAATAATTGTTTTTTATTTTTATCTGTTTTTTCTCACTTTCTTTTGAAATCAATAATAATAATTTATTTTCTATTTGACACTTCTCACGAAATAACAATAAAAGAAAATAATAAGTCAGTATATGGCAAAATACCAAGTCAAATAAAATATTGACTTACAGAAAAGTTTACACCTCTGTCAAGTGCGATGCAAAATACTCTTCCAGTGTGTATGATCCATTGTAATATTCTTCAAGATTGTAGTAAGCTTAAGTTGCAAGGGCATCTTTAACAAGATTTTTGAACTTTTTGTAGCTTTTTCCTTCCTAATTTCGTAAGGTATGTGATTATATAGCTTTTTACTTTCATAAATTGAAGAATACTTTGGCTTGTTTTTGGAATAGGAAGGTGTATTTTATTTTCTGTTACTTGCCGGGTTAATTCATATGTTCCGTAGTTCCAACCATTTTATGTTTTTTGTAAATCAGGCAAACAGTTTCAAGTATGCAAATATAAGTAACAGTGAGCATTTTTTCTCTCAAAATAATGGTCTGCATGACTCACGCACTCCCACCTTGCATAAGTATCTAACCGTTCGCTTTTTCAAAACAAACACTGAATGAAAAAGTTGTTGACTGCAAAATCCCCAGAAGGCTTCACCATATCTCAGGTGGGACTCAATGCCACTTCATCATTTTCTATTTTGTCCCCTTCATAGTAATCCCCCTCAAATATAAAACATTTGAGCCAGTACTTTCATTGGTCTCTGCAATATTGGGAACAGGAACAAGACGCAAGGGGGCAAATCTGGTGAATACGGTGGCTGAGGAATGATTATGGTGTTGTTTTTGGCCAAAAAGCCATGAATTGTTTTTCCACAGTACCGGACGTTTACTTTGTATTGCTTCTCGCAAACGGCGCATAACTTCAAAATAGTACTCGTCATTGACTGTACAACTATGTGGCAAGAACTTCTCATGCACTATAATACGGTAATCGAAAAAAACAGTGAGCAGAACCTTGATATTTGATCGAACTTGGCATGCTTTTTTTGTTCTTGGATTTCCTGAACTCTTCCATTATATCACATGCGTAGGGCATGTCAATGTTTACATCCACTCTATCTTGGATTTGGATAGACTTTAGTTCTGCATTCCCATGGTTCCATATTATGAAGGTGTTGTCCACGTATCTCATCCAGACCCAGCGCTTCTTGTGGGCTTCTTCAATGGCCAGTCAATTGGCAGTCTCTCATCTTGCGTAAAGAATTCATCCTTCAGTTGGAAGTAACAGTTTCGTACTCAGTATCCTAGTAATTCCATGATTTCTTGTATCGGTAAATTTGTTCTATCTTTCAGGTCCCCCATCTTCGGATAGCTTCCTTTGTATGATTTGAAGGGCTTCTTCGACAGGTTTTGAATCCCATTGAACTCATTTGGGCTACTGTCAAAAACAACGTGTCCCAAAAGAATGTAACTTTCAAGTTGGAAGATGTAAGGAAACTGGCGGAGCACGAGTTTGATCAAATCACGTAGTAGATATAGAGCGGAAATATTGGGAGTATGGAGTATCACAGACGTTCAAACAGACTGATTGTCGAAGTAACTGATATTGTGCATACGTAAAGTGTCGGCGTTCTCAAAGGCAAAAAACCCAATACAGAGGAATGAAGTCGCTGTGAACTAGTCCACGTGGACTGGAGAATTGGCGGTTCGTATTGGATGATTTTTACTAACCAAGTGTTATTATTGGCTGAAGAGTCATAAAATTAAATTTGAAGTCATGTTACGGTGACGAATAGAATGCGAGCCGTCGTGTTGTATATTTTCAGTTCAGGAACTGATGATCGCGATTTGAGTGTTGAAATTCGATATTGGTGCAGTTATAATTACTTGAAATTTTTGTTATTTGTTTAAAATGTGGCGTCCTTGGGCAAGTATTAATAGTGATACCGAGTGTGATAACAACGCAGACTTCTTCCTGTGTAGTGATTCCAATAGCGATGGTGAACAATGCGACAAAGAGATACCAGTGAATAAGATTCGGATGCATTCGAATATTGAATCACAGAGAGTATGTTTCAATGTATATAAAAATCTACATCTCAAGTTTGGTTTCGAGGGAAACAAACTGTTACAAGCAACATCAGATTTGACCGAAAGGGTGGACTGATTGTTCGAGAATGTGTACGCCTAACATGCCTGCAAACAAAGGATCGCGACTAATCATTGTGCATTGCGGAGGAAGTAAAGGNCTTGTATGGGGTGAGCCCTCCTGACAACCCACAAGTGAAGGAACTCCGTTGTCTGGTTCTTCCTCCACAGTGGGGTACCCACCAGACAGTTCACGTTCCAAATATGCCGCCGAAACACCAGTTTCTTGAAGACATGGAACCTCTTGGATGGATACATACCCAGCCGAACGAACTCCCCCAACTGTCTCCCCAAGATATCACAACACACGCGAAGTTGATGTCGGACAATCCTGCCTGGGATGGAGAGAAAACGGTTATTATCACTTGTTCGTTCACTCCAGGATCTTGTTCTCTTACAGCTTACAAGTTAACGCCTTCTGGGTATGAGTGGGGTCGGCAGAATACCGACAAAGGAAATAATCCCAAGGGGTACCTACCTAGCCATTATGAAAAAGTGCAGATGTTGCTGTCGGATAGGTTCCTTGGGTTTTTCATGGCTCCATCACAGGGATCTTGGAATTACAACTTTATGGGTGAGTGCTCATTTTTAGAACATCAATGACAAACTGTGTAATAATTCGAAATTTTTCTTGTACTGAATTTATTGCAGTAACAATGCAAAAATAAAAAATATATAGTCAAAACTGCCGGGATCTCGTTATTCAAGAGATGTTTTTTGATTGGAACACTTTTATTTGTCACATCGTTACAATTTTCGTATGAAACAACCATTTTTTTCAATATCTTGGAATATATTAGAGAGGTCCGAATAGCTCTAACTTTACATTTGTTCATTCCGAAATGCCCTTGGTGTGTAACATTCCAAAGTGACACTTAGAATTTTTTTTGTGGAACTACTAATGTATTTAGTAGTTCATACACTTTAGTAGTTACACATTTGGTCCACTCTAGGAAATAAACCAACATGGCTGAAATTTTGCATAACTGTTTACCGCATCCAATTTGGAGGACTCATTACTTTTCATACACTCCCATGATATAAGTGGTTAAATAAAAGAGTTTGTTGAAAGGAACATGAAAAATAAAATGACGTTACTGTAAATCCAATATGGCGGATTCCTAAAGATGGTGGACTACTTTTTTATGCACCCCTATGATATGTATGTTAAAGAAATAGGTCCAAGGGGAAAAACCTCAAAATAGAGAGGTCCGAATAGCTCTAACTTTACATTTTTTCATTCCGAAATGTGTAACATTCCAAAGTGACACTTATAATTTTTTTTGTGGAACTACTAATGTATTTAGTAGTTCATACACTTTAGTAGTTACACATTTGGTCCACTCTAGGAAGTAAATTCTTGCTTGAGTACTTAAATCTTTTGACAAAACATGAATATTATAATAACTAGGTGAAGATATTCACTTTTCGAATCTTTGAAATTGTTACGTTTTCCTCGTAGAAAACTGTACAAATCAAACTCAACTTTATTTCATTGCTACAGCGACCATACAACACAAAGAATTTACCTGAAACTTCAGACTAATACTAATACTCACATGTCTATCGCCTCATTAGATCACTTTCTATTACACTTTCAACTAGATTTCCTAATCTGCCTGTTGGTTGAGTTTATATATCGTGATGTAAGTCTCTGGAAGCTGATAGGGAAATCTCTGAAAGCCGGTAGGGAAGAGATATGACATCTAGAACGATTGAGAAGCACAAGTCGAGTTGAGCGTAACCTTGACCAAGTCCCAATCGAATGACAGACCAGCGGAGGCCGGCGTTATTTTGTTTCAGGGGATAATTCACAACAATATTGTTTGGAAAATGATCAGCCACTACTAAATATTTTCCAGAGCTTTAACTCGCACACATTTCAATCTGACCGTTTGGCAGGAGTTGGTCGTGTTCCGCTTGATTAGAGGTTTCCATATGTTGCGTACCTCTACGCTAGCTTGGCTAAATGCGTTGTTGGGCAACATATATGCGCCTTCTTTGAGTTTTCACCTGAACCAGTGTTCTTCCTTGTGGATGATTTCAGCTTGAGTCCGCTTGATGTTATGTTGATGAACCAGTGTTCTTCCTTGTGGATGATTTCAGCTTGAGTCCGCTTGATGTTATGTTGATGAGTTTAAACGTGCTCTGCTATTCCTGATTTGCTGGTTTCTCCTTGCTGTGTGTGTTTCTTATTCAGAATCAGAATCATTTTATTCATCACAAAAGAATACACATTGTGTGGTGAAAACTACAGAATATGTAACTTATCGGACTAGTCAAAAAAAAAAAAAATTTGTATATAAAGTAGATTGACGGCAATGCGAACTTTCAATGGCCTCTTAGTTTTACCGATGTATGATTCTCCGCACTCGCAAGGTATCCGGTAAATGCAATTCTTGGAATCGCAGTCCGCCTTTGGTGGCCTGGTTTTTGTGAGGCTGCTACGGATAGTGTTCCCAGATCTGAAAAAGGTTCTGATGTTATATTTGGACCCAATCCTTCTTATCCTTTCCGACAATCCTCTGATGTAGGGAAGTACAAGTACTGGTTGTGGCAGCTTCTCTTCCTTGTGGAGCTCTTGTAATCTTCTAGCTGAAGCTTGTTCCACGATCACTTTAGAGTAACCATTTCATTGAAGGTAATTTTTTATGATGCCTAGTTCCTTTTCGAGACCTTCCTTTGTATTACAGAGCCCGAAAGCACGGTCTAGTAGAGTCTTGATGAATCCTCTTTTAGTCAATTGATGGTGGTTGGATTCCTGGTTCAGATACTATCCTGTGTGAGTGGATTTTCGATACACAGATGTTTCACATTTCATGTCGGTCCTCTTTGCCAATATGTCTAAGAATGGCAATTCGTTGTGAACTTTCTTCTCCATTGTGAAAGTGATGGAAGAACTTACGTTGTTGATGTGCTTTAGGAAAGTGTCTAAAGTCTATCCAAATCCAAGATAGAGTGAAACAAAACAAAACCGAAGCGTGATGTTCACGTGATCGCCCAGTGTCAGATGGAAAGGGCAGCGTTTATTGGTGAATTCGCCTTCTTGGTACGAGTTCGGTACCAGTACAGGGTTGTAATCAGCCGTTTGTGTAGCGTGCGTTATAGTATATTGTTTAAAATTGTTTTCCAAGATGTCCAGTACAGAAACTGCTGCTGATGACACTGTGAGCTATTCTCTGAGTCCAGCCAGGAAACGATACAAAAAAAGACATTTGAATGTTGAAATGAAAGAAGTGATTTTAAATGTGTTCAAGAAAGAGATGGAAGAAATTGAGACATCGACTGTCGACGAAGTCGCATCGAAAGTTTCCGATAAAATTGGAGTGTGTTGCGCTTCGATTTACAATGTTTTACGGGAATATAAACAAAATCATACATTTTCCAAACCGAATACAAATCAGAATCGTCAAACCATTATAAAATCAATAGATGNCATTGTGAAAGTGATGAAAAGACTTCAGGAAAGTATCTAGTTCTGCATTTCCATGGTTCCATACTATGAAGGTGTCGTCTACGTATCTCAACCAGACTTGGAGCTTCTTATGGGTTCCTTCAATAGCCAGACTATCTAACCACTCCATATATATATATATACATATTGGCTATAACCGGTGAAAGTGGCGATGCTATTGGCAGTCTCTCATCTTGCGTAAAAAATTCGTCCTTCAGTTGGAAGTAGCAGTTTCGTACGCAGTATCCTAGTAATTCCATGATTTCTTGTATCGGTAAATTTGTTCTATTTTTCAGGTCCCCCATCTTCGGATAGCTTCCTCTGTATGATTTGAAGGGCTTCTTCGACAGGTTTTGAATCCCATTGAACTCATTTGGGCTACTGTCAAAAACAACGTGGTCCAAAAGAATGTAACTTTCAAGTTGGAAGATGTAAGGAAACTGGCGGAGCACGAGTTTGATCAAATCACTTCCGTGGAATGGCAAAAGCATTGCCGACAAGTAGTAGATATAGAGCGGAAATATTGGGAGTATGGAGTATTCACAGACGTTCAAACAGACTGATTGTCGAAGTAACTGATATTGTGCATACGTATCGGCGTTCTTAAAGGCAAAAAACCCAATACAGAGGAATGAAGTCGCTGCGAACTAGTCCACGTGGACTGGAGAATTGGCGGTTCGTATTGGATGAATTTGAAGTCATGTTACGGTGACGAATAGAATGCGAGCTGTCGTGTTGTATATTTTCAGTTCAAGAACTGATAATCGCGATTTGAGTGTTGAAATTCGATATTGGTGCAGTTATAATTACTTGAAATTTTTGTTATTTGTTCAAAATGTGGCGTCCTTGGGCAAGTATTAATAGTGATACAGAGTGTCATAACAACGCAGACTTTTTCCAGTGTAGTGATTCCAATAGCTATGGTGAACAAAGCGACAAAGAGATACCAGTGAATAAGATTCGGATGCATTTGAATATTGAATCACAGAGAGTATGTTTCAATGTATATAAAAATCTACATCTCAAGTTTGGTTTCGAGGGAAACAAACTATTACAAGCAACATCAGATTTGACCGAAAGGGTGGACTGATGGGTCGAGAATGTGTACGCCTAACATGCCTGCAAACAAAGGATCGCGACTAATCATTGTGCATTGCAGAGGAAGTAAAGGATGGGTTCCGAATGGGCTCGTTCAGGCTAATTTAGATTTTTATTGAAAATTATATATTATAAAAGTAAATCATCTCCCAAGTATCCCACAAAATTTTCCGGTTTTTATGTCAATTAACAACTGAGCAAGAGCAATTGAAAATGTGAGATCATATATTTGTGAATGTGGAAATTCTTGAGAATATCTTATTCCTATCTACTCCCATCTCCTTTTCCCCTCAATAATTTCCTTCTACTTCTTTTGTGACAAATTAGTTCTATACTACTTTCATTTATTCCTTCCTTCAAATTGTTTTTATCAAATTTTCAGCGTCAACGTCGCTTCTCTTACCCAGTCAGAAATTAGGGATATTATCCTAGGAATGGAAATAAGTGCGCCGTCTGCTCAAAGACAGCAGATAGCAGAAATTGAGAAGCAAACGAAAGAACAATCTCAACTTACCGCTACCACTACTCGAACAGTTAACAAACATGGTGACGAAATTATTACAAGCACAACTAGTAACTATGAAACAGCGACATTCAGTTCGAAGACAGAATGGAGAGTAAGAGCCATATCTGCCACAAATCTGCATCTTAGAACGAATCACATCTACGTGAGCTCCGATGATATAAAAGAGACAGGATATACATACATCTTGCCCAAGAACGTCCTCAAAAAGTTTGTCACTATATCAGATTTGAGAGCACAAGTAAGTTGTTTACAGTTATAATTCCAAAATACAGGGTGTTCCTTAAACACATGCTAATATTTAAGGAGGTAATTCTTAGACCCATTTTAAGGAAAAAACGTCCTATGGACGTATACTTCAGCTCACTCAAG